ACCAACTGAGGAAGGATTAAAACCATCCGACCAACTGAGGAAAAGGGTATACCATCCGACCAAATGAGGGAGGATATATCCCTCCGAACCCAAATGAGAGGAAGGATAAATCCATCCGACCAACTGAAGGGGGGATTATCCATCCACCAAAAGGAGGATAACCATCCGACCCAAATGAGAGAAAAATAATCCCCGACCAAATGAGAGGTATACCATCCGACCCAAATGAGAAGGATTTCCATCCACCACTGAGGAAGGGTATTCCTCCGACCAATGAGAAAGGGTATATCCAAACCTGACCCAACTGAGGAAGGATATTCCATCCGACAACTGAGAGAAAGGGAAAATCCCTCCACCAAAAGAAAGGGTATACCATCCGACCACTGAGAGAAAGGGAAATCCATCCGACCAACTGAGAGAATATATCCATCCCGACCCAAATGAAAAGAAAGAATTTTTCCCTCGACAATGAGGAAGGTATATCCATCCACCAACTTTAAGGATTACCATCCGCCCAAATGAGGAGGAAAATCCATCCGACCAAGAGAGGGGATATATCCTCCGACCAACGAGAGGGGATTATCCATCCGACCCAAATGAGGAAAGGTATTCCATCCGACCCAAATGAGAGAAGGAAAAATCCATCCGACCAACTGAGAAAGGGTTTTCCATCCGACCAATGAGAAAAATAATTTTCCCTCGACCAACTGAAGAAGGGTATATCCATCCACCAAAAGGGGGGGAAGGGAAAAGACCCAATGAGAAGGGGTAAAATCCATCCTACCAACTGAGAGGAATATCCTCCAAACCCAATTTGGGGGGAAAAAACCCTCCACCAAATAGAAGGGTATTCCATCCACCCAAAGAAAAGGATTATTCCACCAATGAGGAAGGATATATCCCTCCAAAACCAACTGAGAGGAGGTAATCCACCACCAACTGAGAGGATAATTCCACCCAAGAGGAAAAATATATCCATCCAAAACCCAATAGGGAATAATCCATCCACCAACTGAGGGGGGATACCATCCACCAACTGAGAGGATATTCCACCACCAAATGAAGGAATTCCTCCAAAAAATGAGGAGGATTATCCACCACCAACTGAGAGAGGATATATCCCTCCGACCAACTGAGAGGAGGATATATCCCCTCCACCAACTGAGAGGAGGATATATCCATCCAAAACCCAAATGAGAGAAAGGATATAAACCATCCAAAACCCAAATGAGAGGGATATATCCATCCACCAACTGAGAGAGGATAATCCATCCAAAACCCCTGAAGGAGGTATATCCATCCGACCAACTGTGAGGATATATCCATCCTGACCCAAATGAGAGGAGGATATATCCATCCAACCAATAGAGGATATTTTCCATCCAAAACCCAAATGAGAGAAGTTATCCTCCACAACTGAGAGGAGGATATATCCATCCAGACCAAAATGAGAGAAAGGGTATATCCATCCTGACCAACTGAGAGGAGGATATATCCATCCAACCAATGAGAGGGTATATCCATCCACCAACTAGTGAAGATATATCCATCCTGACCCAACTGAGAGGATATATCCATCCTGACCAACTGAGAGAAATATATCCATCCTGACCAACTGAGAGGAGGGTATATCCATCCTGACCAACTAAGAAGGGTATATCCATCCTGACCTACTGAAGGGGGATATATCCATCCGACCAACTGGAAAGGGGGATTATCCATCCTGACCCAACTGAGAGAAGGATATATCCATCCAAAACCCAAATGAGTGAAGGATATATCCATCCTGACCAACTCAGGAATATATAATCCATCCTGACCAACTGGGGAGAAGGATATATCCATCCTGACCAACTGAGGAAAGGGTATTTTCCATCCAAAACCCAAATGAGTGAAGGATATATCCATCCTGACCAATAGAGGAAGGATATATCCATCCTGACAACTGAGAGAAATAATCCATCCTGACCAACTGAGAGAAGGATTTATCCATCCAAAAAACTGAGGAGGATATTCCATCCTGACCAACTGAGAGAAGTATAAATCCATGCCCGACCAACTGAAGAAAGGGTATATTTCCCTCCAACCCCAAATGAGAGAAGGATATATTCCCTCCTGACCAACTGAGAGAAGGATAATCCATCCACCAACTGAGAGGATATATCCATCTGACCACTGAGAGAAGGATATATTCCCTCCGACCAACTGAGAGAAGGAATATCCATCCAAAACCCAAATGAGAGAAGGATATATCCATCCAAACCAACTGAGAGAAGGATATCCGACCATAAGAAAATTCCAAAACCAACTGAGAGAAGGGTATATCCATCCTGACCAACTGAGAGAAGGGTATATCCATCCAAACCAACTGAGAGAAGGATATATCCATCCTGACCAACTGAGAGAAGGATATATCTATCCTGACCAACTGAGAGAAGGATATATCCATCCTGACCAACTGAGAGGATTATATTCCATCCTGACCAACTGAGAAAAGGATATATCCATCCTGACCAACTGAGAAAAGGATATATCCATCCTGACCAACTGAGAGAAGGATACATCCATCCTGACCAACTGAGAGAAGGATACATCCATCCTGACCAACTGAGAAGGATATATCCATCCTGACCAACTGAGAGGATATATCCATCCTGACCAACTGAGAGAAGGATATATCCATCCTGACCAACTGAGAGGATATATCCATCCTGACCAACTGAGAGGATATATCCATCCTGACCAACTGAGAGGATATATCCATCCAAACCAACTGAGAGAAGGATATATCCATCCTGACCAACTGAGAGGGATATATCCATCCTGACCAACTGAGAGGAGGATATATCCATCCTGACCAACTGACAGAAGGATATATCCATCCTGACCAACTGAGTGAAGGATATATCCATCCTGACCAACTGAGAGGAGGATATCCATCCTGACCAACTGAGAGAAGGATATATCCATCCTGACCAACTGAGAGAAGGATATATCCATCCTGACCAAGTGAGTGAAGGATATATCCATCCTGACCAACTGAGTGAAGGATATATCCATCCTGACCAACTGAGAGGAGGATATATCCATCCTGACCAACTGAGAGGATATATCCATCCTGACCAACTGAGAGGAGGATATATCCATCCTGACCAACTGAGAGAAGGATATATCCATCCTGACCAACTGAGAGAAGGATATATCCATCCTGACCAACTGAGAGGAGGATATATCCATCCTGACCAACTGAGAGGATAAATCCATCCTGACCAACTGAGAGGATAAATCCATCCTGACCAACTGAGAGGAGTATATATCCATCCTGACCAACTGAGAGAAGGATAAATCCATCCTGACCAACTAAGAGGATATATCCATCCTGACCAACTGAGAGAAGGATATATCCATCCTGACCAACTGAGTGAAGGATATGTCCATCCTGACCAACTGAGTGAAGGATATATCCATCCTGACCAACTGAGAGGAGGATATATCCATCCTGACCAACTGAGAGAAGGATATATCCATCCTGACCAACTGAGAGAAGGATATATCCATCCTGACCAACTGAGTGAAGGATATATCCATCCTGACCAACTGAGTGAAGGATATATCCATCCTGACCAACTGAGTGAAGGATATATCCATCCTGACCAACTGAGAGAATTATATATCCATCCTGACCAACTGAGAGAAGGATATATCCATCCTGACCAACTGAGAGAAGGATATATCCATCCTGACCAACTGAGAGAAGGATATATCCATCCTGACCAACTGAGTGAAGGATATATCCATCCTGACCAACAGAGAAGGATATATCCATCCTGACCAACTGAGTGAAGGATATATCCATCCTGACCAACTGAGTGAAGGATATATCCATCCTGACCAACTGAGAGAAGGATATATCCATCCTGACCAACTGAGAGAAGGATATATCCATCCTGACCAACTGAGTGAAGGATATATCCATCCTGACCAACTGAGTGAAGGATATATCCATCCTGACCAACTGAGTGAAGGATATATCCACCTGACGCAACTGAGAGAGAAGGATATATCCATCCTGACCAACTGAGAGAAGGATATATCCATCCTGACCAACTGAGAGAAGGATATATCCATCCTGACCAACTGAGAGAAGGATATATCCATCCTGACCAACTGAGAGAAGGATATATCCATCCTGACCAACTGAGAGAAGGATATATCCATCCTGACCAACTGAGAGAAGGATATATCCATCCTGACCAACTGAGAGAAGGGAATATATCCATCCTGACCAACTGAGAGAAGGATATATCCATCCTGACCAACTGAGAGAAGGATATATCCATCCTGACCAACTGAGTGAAGGATATATCCATCCTGACCAACTGAGAGAAGGATATATCCATCCTGACCAACTGAGAGGATATATCCATCCTGACCAACTGAGAGGATACATCCATCCTGACCAACTGAGAGAAGGATATATCCATCCTGACCAACTGAGTGAAGGATATATCCATCCTGACCAACTGAGAGGATATATCCATCCTGACCAACTGAGAAAAGGATATATCCATCCTGACCAACTGAGAGAAGGATATATCCATCCTGACCAACTGAGTGAAGGATATATCCATCCTGACCAACTGAGAGAAGGATATATCCATCCTGACCAACTGAGAGAAGGATATATCCATCCTGACCAACTGAGAGGATATATCCATCCTGACCAACTGAGTGAAGGATATATCCATCCAGACCAACTGAGTGAAGGATATATCCATCCTGACCAACTGAGTGAAGGATATATCCATCCAGACCAACTGAGAGAAGGATATATCCATCCTGACCAAGAGGAAAGACAACATTCGTCGTGCCGGCCTCCACTACATCTCCTCCAGCCTCCCTCCACACACCCTCCATTAAAAACATTAACTCCTCCACTTATACAAAATACACTAACCTCCCTACTGTATAATACAATAAGCCGCCGAGGCAATAATTACCAGAGCGAGAGGCTATTCTTGACAACATCGTCCCCAGCAGCTGAGCTTATCCAAGATGGCCGACACAGTCAAATCAGCATATATATTATCAATAAAAATAAATGTAATACAAATATAATATATATAATATAGTAATATAAAAATAATATATGTGTGTCGTGTCATATAAGTACAACTTGCGATTTTGGCTTAAATAGCAACGCTATTCTTGCCGAATAAGTCAAGCGAAAATTTGCGTATGCAATAATTTCGCAAAGATCATTCTGAATCTAACGAAAAATATATATTTCGTTGTATTTGTTTATTATTAAATTATTGTTAACTTATCTAAAATATATTTAGTTGGATTAGGCTAAATTAAATTGCGCTCTTTATAATAAGGTTTGGTAAGTTTTCTAAGGTTCTTTTGGTACAAAATTATTATTTTTACATTAAAATAAATGAAAAATATGTATCTTTAAACGTATAAGTGAAAATTTTAATAAGGACTTAATTTTAAATGAGTTCTTGCTTATTAACTAGTTTTACTTATTGGGCACGACACACACACACACACACACACACACACACACATACACACACCACACACACACACACACACACACACACACACACACACACACACACACACACACACACACTTTACCACACATCACACACATACACACACATACACACACACACTGCTCATAAAACACCATGGGGATTGATTAAATGGAAGGCATGGACATGATTGGAGAAAGAGACTACATTGTAGGTACAATTCATATAATATATATATATATATATATTATTATATTTAATAATTATATATATATATATATATATATATATATATATATATATATAAAATCAGTGGACCCCGCACAGCGAACGCCTTGCATAGCGAACAATCCGCATAGCGCATAGCGAACGCTTTGTTCGCTAAAATTTTGCCCCGCATAGTGGACAAAAACCCGCTCAGCGACCTTCGTCCGAGACGCGTCCAAATCTGCGCCCTCAGCCAGCCTCACATGTGCCGCCCTTCCCATTGTTTACCAGCCAGCCTCCGCGGTAACATTCAAGCATACACTCGGAATATTTCGTATTATTACAGTGTTTTCGGTGCTGTTTGTGGAAAATAAGTGACCATGGGCCCAAGAAAGCTTCTAGTGCCAACCCTACACTCAAAGGGTAAGAATACCCATTGAAAATTTAAGAAAGAGATCATTGATAAGTATGAAAGTGGAGTACGTATCACCGACCTGGTCAGGTTGTACAAGAAACCAAAATCAACCATCGCTTCTATTGTGGGCAAGAAAACGGCAATCAAGGAAGCTGTTGTTGCCAAAGGTTTAACTGTGTTTTCGAAACAGAGATCGCAAGTGATAGAAGATGTTGAGAGACTCTTATTGGTGTGGATAAATGAAAAACAGATAGCAGGAGACAGCATCTCTCAAGCGATCATATGTGAAAAGGCTAGGAAGTTGCATCAGGATTTAATTAGAAAAATGCCAGCAACTAGTGATGATGTGAGTGAATTTAAGGCCAGCAAAGGTTGGTTTGAGAGATTTAAGAAGCGTAGTGGCATACATAGTGTGATAAGGAATGGTGAGGCTGCCAGTTCGGACCACAAAGCAGCTGAAAAATATGTGCAGGAATTCAAGGAGTACATAGAAACTGAAGGACTGAAACCTGAACAAGTGTTTAATTGTGACGAAACAGGTCATTTTTCGAAGAAAATGCCAAGCAGGACCTACATTACTCAGGAGAAAAAGGCACTCCCAGGAGTGAGAGAGAAATTGAATAAGTTGCCTACTTCAAAGATTAAGGAAATGTGTGCAAAGTGGGTTGAACTGCAAACCTTTGCAGGTGAAAATCACCCTGACACAGCTACTGCAAGCCGTGCTGCTGACTATTACAATGACAATGTTATGGCCCATTTTAGGAAAATCTTAAAGAAACGGGAGGTACAGACCTCTATGGACAGATATGTTGTGCGACAGAGGTCCAGTGACTCTCAAGCTGGTCCTAGTGGCATTAAAAGAAGAAGGGAAGTAACCCCGGGAAAGGACTTGATATCTCAAGTCCTAATGGAAGGGGATTCCCCTTCTAAACTATAATAATTTTCACTCTCCCCTCCTCCCATCCCATCAATCATCACCAGATCTTCAATAAAGGTAAGTGTCATGTATTCTTAGTGCATGTCTTCTTAAGTTTGTGTGTATTAAAATTAATATTTTATGTAAAAAATTTTTTTCATACTTTGTGGTGTCTTGCACGTATATATATATATATATATATATATATATATATATATATATATATATATATATATATATATATTATATATATATATTATAATATATATATATATATACTAAGCAACACAGACCCCAACTTATGCCTAGAACAGATTAACTCGGTGGCACTCGATGTATGCACAAGGCTTATTCCTCTAAGAAAAAGGAGGAGTAGATGTAAAATAGAAAGAGACAGATTGAACATTAAAATGGTATAAAATACCGACAGGTTGTTAGGTAAGACACATATGCAACAGTTAGGTATCTTTATTGTGAAACGTTTCGCCTACACAGTAGGCTTCTTCAGTCAACCCCTCAAGGAAGGTTCCTTGATGTTGGTGAGGGGCTCTTGATTTAGGGAATTGGATCTATGCTCCAGTTCCCCAAATTAAGCCTGAATGCCTTCCACATACCCCCCCAGGCGCTGTATAATCCTCCGGGTTTAGCGCTTCCCCCTTGATTGTAATAATAATAATAAATTCTTCAGTCAAGTACAGAAAAGTTGATAGAAGCAGAAGATACTTGAAGACGATGTAATCAGTCCATCACCCTTAAAGTTTTGAGGTGGTCAGTCCCTCAGTCTGGAGAAGAGCATTGTTCCATAGTATGAAACAATATGGAGAAGAAGTGACAGGATGGAGCTTTTTATAGCCCCAAGAGGTGAGACGTAGGCCACTAGGAGAGGTAAGAACTCAGATGTTGAGAAGGCAGGTCCCTCTCAAATCCAGCCTCTCTCACTGGTGGAAGTTGTCGAAGTTGATTGCAGGTCTGTACCAAGATACCCTTGTGTTGCAGTGTCTGACAGATTGAACATTAAAATGGAATAAAATACCGACAGGTTGTTAGGTAAGACACATATGCAACAGTTAGGTATCTTTATTGTGAAACGTTTCGCCTACACAGTAGGCTTCTTCAGTCAAGTACAGAAAAGTTGATAGAAGCAGAAGATACTTGAAGACGATGTAATCAGTCCATCACCCTTAAAGTTTTGAGGTGGTCAGTCCCTCAGTCTGGAGAAGAGCATTGTTCCATAGTATGAAACAATATGGAGAAGAAGTGACAGGATGGAGCTTTTTATAGCCCCAAGAGGTGAGACGTAGGCCACTAGGAGAGGTAAGAACTCAGATGTTGAGAAGGCAGGTCCCTCTCAAATCCAGCCTCTCCACTGGTGGAAGTTGTCGAAGTTGATTGCAGGTCTGTACCAAGATACCCTTGTGTTGCAGTGTCTGACAGATTGAACATTAAAATGGTATAAAATACCGACAGGTTGTTAGGTAAGACACATATGCAACAGTTAGGTATCTTTATTGTGAAACGTTTCGCCTACACAGTAGGCTTCTTCAGTCAAGTACAGAAAAGTTGATAGAAGCAGAAGATACTTGAAGACGATGTAATCAGTCCATCACCCTTAAAGTTGCATATGTACATATATACGTGCATATATACGTACATATATATGTGCATATATACAGACTTTGCAAAAGCCTTCTACAAGTGTGACCATGGCGTAATAGCGCACAAAATGCGTGCTAAAGGAATAACAGGAAAAGTCGGTCGATGGATCTATAATTTCCTCACTAACAGAACACAGAGAGTAGTAGTTAACAGAGTAAAGTCCGAGGCAGCTACGGTGAAAAGCTCTGTTCCACAAGGCACAGTACTCGCTCCCATCTTGTTCCTCATCCTCATATCTGACATAGACAAGGATGTCAGCCACAGCACCGTGTCTTCCTTTGCAGATGACACCCGAATCTACATGACAGTGTCTTCCATTGCAGACACTGCATGGCTCCAGGCGGACATCAACCAAATCTTTCAGTGGGCTGCAGAAAACAATATGAAGTTCAACGATGAGAAATTTCAATTACTCAGATATTGTAAACACGAGGAAATTAAATCTTCATCAGAGTACAAAACAAATTCTGGCCACAAAATAGAGCGAAACACCAACGCCAAAGACCTGGGAGTGATCATCTCGGAGGATCTCACCTTCAAGGACCATAACATTGTATCAATCGCATCTGCTAGAAAAATGACAGGATGGATAATGAGAACCTTCAAAATTAGGGATGCCAAGCCCATGATGACACTCTTCAGGTCACTTGTTCTATCTAGGCTGGAATATTGCTGCACACTAACAGCACCTTTCAAGGCAGGTGAAATTGCTGACCTAGAAAATGTACAGAGAACCTTCACGGCGTGCATAACGGAGATAAAACACCTCAATTACTGGGAGCGCTTGAGGTTCCTGAACCTGTATTCCCTGGAATGCAGGCAGGAGAGATACATGATTATATACACCTGGAAAATCCTAGAGGGACTAGTACCGAACTTGCACACGAAAATCACTCATTACGAAAGCAAAATACTTGGCAGACGATGCAACATCCCCCCAATGAAAAGCAGGGGTGTCACTAGCACGTTTAGGTGCTTGTCCAGTGCCAGCTTGAAGACTGCCAGGGGTCTGTTGGTAATCCCCCTTATGTATGCTGGGAGGCAGTTGAACAGTCTCAGGCCCCTGACACTTATTGTATGGTCTCTTAACGTGCTAGTGACACCCCTGCTTTTCATTGGGGGGATGTTGCATCGTCTGCCATCGTTTACCCATAATGTACAGTAGATTTTGCCCTGGCCATCGTAAATTCTAGCTGCCAGGGGTTAAGTTAGGGTGTGTTCCATCAGCATTAAGTGTCTTCCAGCAATTAAATGGTAAGTGTTAATATGAATATTTTGTGTACCCAGCAAGTAAATCAAAATACCATTCAGTCGACTAAACGTAAGTATACCAGAGTAGCTGGTTTTAATTTTATAATTAATTTAATGTCAGGCCTAGCTTTTTGTGAAAGTGGTAAAGAAGTAGGCAGTCGGAGGAGTTGCAGTTCTGTGACCTACTGTGACTTAAGTCCCATTTACCTCACCCAAATTACTTGCAGGTAATAATTCAGATAATGTCCTGTAAACCTCCTGCAGGTGATTTGCTCATCATCATCATCATCATCATCACTATCATCATCTTAATAATAATAATAATAATAATAATAATAATAATAATAATAATAATTTTTCACAATAATATGAATGTAATGAAAATAATTAGTAATTAGCAATAAATAAATATTAATAATATAGTAAAAATAATGGTAATATTAGGTTGATAATTAAGTCTTTTTTTATTATGTTTTATTGCACAAATTTAGGTTTTTAACAATTGTATTAATAAGTTTATTTAGGTAGAGACACATAATGATAATATTACCTGGAGTTTACCTGGAGAGAGTTCCGGGGGTCAACGCCCCCGCGGCCCGGTCTGTGACCAGGCCTCATGGTGGATCAGAGCCTGATCAACCAGGCTGTTGCTGCTGGCTGCACGCAAACCAACGTACGAGCCACAGCCCGGCTGATCAGGAACCGACTTTAGGTGCTTGTCCAGTGCCAGCTTGAAGACTGCCAGGGGTCTGTTGGTAATCCCCCTTATGTGTGCTGGGAGGCAGTTGAACAGTCTCGGGCCCCTGACACTTATTGTATGGTCTCTTAACGTGCTAGTGACACCCCTGCTTTTCATTGGGGGGATGTTGCATCGTCTGCCAAGTCTTTTGCTTTCGTTGTGAGTGATTTTCGTGTGCAAGTTCGGTACTAGTCCCTCTAGGATTTTCCAGGTGTATATAATCATGTATCTCTCCCTTGTTATGCAGAGCATTTAGGGGAAATTAGGTCAGTTTTGGCCCAGGATGTGACCCACATCAGTCAACTAAAACCAGGTACCTATTTTACTGCTAGGTAAACAGTGACATAAGGTGTAAGATGACTACCACTAATGTACCTACTTACTGCTAGGTGAACACGGACAACAGGTGTTTTAAGGAAGCACGTCCTAATATTTCCACCCGTACCAGGGATCGAATCACAGACTTCGGTGTGTGAGCTGAATGCGCTACCATCCCAGCTACGGGAGTCAGGACACAGTGTAAGTACCACAGCTAGACTGATCAGGGATTGACTTGAGGAACTTGCAAAGTTCTCTCTTGAAGACACCCACAGATCTGCTGGTAATCACCCCCTTATGTATGAAGGGAGAGTGTTCAAAAGTCTTGGTCCCTTTACACTTAGTTTTCCCCTAGTGTACTCACTTGACAATTGTTTTTCATTGAGGGTACTTTGCACCATCTTCTAAACTTTTTGCTGTCATGGGTGAGTGATCTGTGTGTGTAGATTTGGGAACAGTCCCTATAAATCTTTCCAGGTGTAGATTATAATGTAAACTCCAAGTAAACTCCAAGTATCTTTATCGCCTGCATTCGAGGAAGTACAGGTCAAGGGGGCCTCAAACGTTCTCAATAATTTAGATGTTTGACTGAATCTATGTGAGCAATCAAGGTTCTCTGTACATACTCCAGGTCTGTAATTTCATCTGCCATGAACAGTGCTGTCAGAGAAAGCTGAGTTTAGCTCCAATTCCTTGAATCAAGAACTTTCACCAGCACCAAGTCAGTCTCATTACAGGAAGACAACTTTAAGTTGAATTAAGCTATTTATTACTATAGAAATAAAAATAAAGCTACCTCCTGTATTTTTTATATAAAATTAATTTATTAATTGACTTAAAATAAAATAAGAACTTTTTTATTGACAATTTTTCCGGAATAAAACAAAAGATGCTGAACTAATTCAAACAATCGACATATAACATTAAAGAATATACTGAAAAAAAAATTAAACAATAAAAGAAAATATATCCATATTTATTATTATTAAGAAAAAATTACTTAATGACTATAAAAATCAAGTATATATATAATAAATAGAGAGAGATGAGGGAGTCACCAGTCAGTGATCACAACACAAGAAGCAAAATAACTCTTAAATTTATTATAGAGGTCAAATAGTAAGTTTATTTTAAGTTTTTAATGATTAAATACATCTATAATATCTATAATAAACCTGTGGTTATCATAGATATACACTGGTGAGTTGTTATTAAGGTTTAAATATAAGATAACAAAGAAAGTTGAGCTCTCTCAATACTACTTATAAATACTTATGTTATCTACGTAATATTACATAATTTTTAGATGATTGTAAGTGTTTTACACAGTATATGTGTACATTATGTACGATAAACAAAAAAAAATCATGTTTCCATTGGGGTTCTTGTGATATTTGTATCTAATTATTTGCTTATTTTCTTAGCCATATAAGACTTTGGTGAAAGCTCTTGATCCAGGGTACTTGATCTAGCCTTTCCTTCCTTGGATTGAACTTGAATGCTCCCCAGTCACTTTGTAACCCCTACGGGTATAATGCTTCCTTGTGATTATAAAGTATTCATAATCGTAAGAATCATAATTGTAATAATCATAATCATAATAATCATAATAATAATCATAATAATAATCATAATAATCAGTCATAATCATCATACACATACATGCATACATACAGGGGCCAGGAGCTGAGTCTCGACCCCTGCAACCACAGTTAGGTGAGTACACATACATACATACACACATGCATGCATATATACATATACACATACATATACACATATACACATATATATACACATACATACACACATACATACACACATACATATACACATACATATACACATACATATACACATACAAACATACATACATAGGTACCCCATACCGTACTGCCAGTGACATGCTTGGCTAAGCGACTGTGAAATTCCAGTCTTTAATGACTGTCTTGGTAGCTCACTGGAGTTAAATCCAAAAAATGACATGTGGAAGCTTTATTTTCCCTTTCACTCTCCGGACTACTAAATTTTTTTTAATTAGAAAGACTAGTGTCTTCCTAATAAAAAAAAGTTCTTCTGAGAGGGTAGAGAATCTTATTCTGAAAGTAATGACACCAAAAGTATGAAATTTGATGGCTAACTTGATGGAATTATGCAGGCACAAAATTAGCGGTCTGGGTGCGGTTTATCTGTCGGCAACTTCATCTACTTTGAGGCTTATTTTAATTCAGTTATGTTGCTCCATTTGAGCAAATTCTTAGCTACGTTGCTAGTATGCCTTCTATTCTATCGATTGTTTCTTCCAATGTATTTTTAATTCTTGTAATTTTTTTTTTTTCAAGTTGAGGAGGCCTGTGCTGAGACCACACTACAGGGAGTGATGATCTACGGAACCATTAATATATTTACTGTGTAACAAATGCATGTTGTACTGTATCACATTTTTCCAAATTAACTTTGAGTTTGTTACTTATCGTTCAGGTGTAAACTATTTTAGCTAATTATTGACTATATCATTTAAAGTAGCAATTCTACCATTTATAGAAGTGAGGTTTGTGTATAAGACAAAAATAGTGAGTAAAACTCAATTACATAAAATCTTGGATGACATTCAGTAGGTTATTAATTAAACATAGAATGAAAGGGGGCCTGGCTCGGTATTGGGAATTCTGCTTAATTGGTACTATATTTACAGTGACCCTTGTGGGTTTAGTGCTAAGCTCTGATTGTAAAGATGATAATAATAATAATAATACGTAATAATAATAATAATAATAATAATAATAATCTATTTATAGTATCTGAGTTTGTGTTTACCTGCACAGCCAATTTGCTTAAGGCCATAATTTATTGTTTTAGCTATAGACATTGTAGCTGGAGTTATGCTAGGCCTGTTTGGATATATTAATTAATGAGTGATAAAACTGATAAGTAAGATTCATGTGCAACATTAATGATCTTTATTGATGAAATACTATGCCTGCCCTGCAAGCTTCATCAGTCAAATAAAGAGAGGACTCTCACTCATTGAGACATCAGCATGGGTGGAAGACAAAGTAGACAAAGTGAAACGGTAGTTTGATATAGTCAGTCCGTCAGGAGGCTCATGCACAGCCCTCCGCTTCTACCCCTGCATCTCCTCCACTTCTGCAAGTTTCTGTAAACTCTCCCCTTCATATTGAATGTTTAGGGTCCTCCACAGTTTCCTATAAGGAATTTACTATCAGTTCAAGATTTTTACAGTTCCTTATCACATCACACAACAATCCACCCCATTCTCCTGTACCATCTCTGACATCTACTACATTACTGTTTCCTTTACCTTCAGATGAGGAAAGAGCAGAAGCTATTTCTGTTCATGTGTCCTTTTACCTAACATAGTTGTAATCCACCCACAGACTAATTGTATAAAAATACAAGCATCATGCCAAATTCTGTACCATACAAGTTAATGAAACTGGTCTTTGAAACGAGCTTTGGTAGGAAACCTGATTGTGTACATTAAACCCTGTTAAAAAAAAAAGGTATAAATAAGTCATTGTTGTACTCTTAAGCCTGTTTCGTCTATTTCTGCAGGTAACACAATGGGGATACTATTATCATGCTGTGGCGGTGGATCTAACTCCTCCTCAGACTATAACAACATGAATGAGCCGGCTGATCCTGTAAGTTTGAGGAGTGTGTGAAGGGTATCGGCACTTATGTGTAAGTTGCAACTCTCCTGTGTGTTGCCAATGCCAGTGTTAAAGTAATATTAAAGTTATGTATACATGTATTACTATTTATTAACACATTTGTTATTGAAGAAAGAAGCCACAATACCGTTGCTGGAACAATATGGCAATGATCTGTTCTGTACTTTTATCAAATCGATTACATTATTATTTATTATAGTAATTGTTTATATTTCATCATCCATCCATCATCCTTCATTACCAATATCATCATTGTCATCTTTCACTTGCTACAGTATTATTTTTTATTAACACATCAGCCACTTACCGCCAAGGCAGGGTGACCCAAAAAAGAAGAAACACACTCATTATCATTCACTCCATCACTGTTTTGCCCCAGAGGCATGCCTACACTACAATTAAAACACTGCAGCATCAACACCCCTCCTTCAGAGTGCAGGCATTGTACTTCCCATCTCCAGGACTCAAGTTCATCTTGCTGGTTTCCCCTGAGTACCTTCATAAATGTTACTTTGCTCTCACTCCAACAGCATGTCAAGTCATAAAAACCATTCATCTCCACTCGCTTCTGTCTAACACGCTCATGCATGCTTGCTAGATGTCCAAGCCCCTCACACACAAAACCACCTTTACCACCTCTCTCCAGCCTATTATTATTATTTCTATTATTATTGTAGTTATTTTTATTATCTTAAAAATAACATATACAATTCTGTATGAGGAACAGATCCCCATTAGGGATAATGCCTAATTATTGTATGTGATTACTATATATTTTTATTGTTTTTATGCTACCTTGTTGCTTAGACTTTCTATATATGAAATTCTCTTGTATGGGAGACCCCAATTTAGTGCAGATTGTGTGCCTGGTGTTTCAACTTACAAACTAGTCATTATTACCCCTGAACTTATTATCCTATAGAAGATGAAAGTACAAAGGATAATTATCACATTTTTCTTAATGGGTATTAATAAAACAATTTTTTCTGTAGTCAACTCTCTTATAAAGTTGCTCTACATAGTGCATTTTTTTTTTTTTTGTAATTGTAATTGAAGAAGTGCATCAAAAATTGCAACGCTCATACTGTGAAGGTCTTGTCACGCACTATTCAATTTTGGATATACGTTTTACGAAAAATTGAACTATAAAGAGAAGCTTTATAACAAAGCTGATTTCCTTTTGGGCTGGTTTGTAAGTGTGGATCATCATACTGTAAACAGGTGTAAGGTATGAATCCAAGGTATGGAATGTGTATGTAATATTCTATTTTAACTTAATAAAATACAATCATATTTTTATTTCTTATGAATATACATAGGAAATATTTTATATTGAACACAGTACTGTACAAGAATGCTCCAAAATATAAATGCCACTTGTTGCACACATTCACATTTAAATTGGGCAACTGAAAACTAGTATTAAATTTTACACCTCCCGAACCTCCGCACAAGTGTTTCTGAAGAATAATATATTTCTTACCATTTTTTCTGTGCAAACTTATCCCCCTCGTTGGGGGGGTTTCCTTGGCACTGGTGAGGAGCTCTTGATCCAAGGATTTGGACATGGCTTCACATGGATTGAACCTCATTGGCTTTGATTCCTCCAGGTGCTGTACACCTATGGGTTTAATGTCCCTCCCTCCCCATGAATATAATGTAATATAGTTTTTTTTTTCACGTCATCCATCTCCCATCGAGGCAGGGTGACCCATAAAAAGAAACACTTTCACCATCATTCAACACTGTCCCAACATTCACACACAATCACTGTCTTTGCAGTGGCACTCACAACAGTTTAGATGTCACTCCAAACAATCAGTATTCCCAGATTCCTCCTGTAAAGTGCAGGCATTGTACTTCCCACCTTCAGAACTCAAGTCTGGCTATATACCTCTTGTGGTCTTTCTGGGAAACATTTCAACACATGGATGTATTTTCACTACTTGTACAGTGCTGTCATGTGTACCGTAGTACAGTACACACACTTTCTTGTGCAGTATTTGACTTAGTGGTGGACAGTCGTAGTTTAAATTTCAGTCATAAAGTTTTTGCTAGAGTTAATTTTCACCATTTTAGTTTATTTTCTAATTTTATTATGCACCCTATACTCATCCCGTGGGTAGTAATCACCCCATACCCATCTTGTGGACAGTAGTCACCCCTATGAGTTAGTTGGTTTTTCCCATATAAACAGTTGAGGAACTGACTTAGGTTAATTGGAAATCTCTTGCCTGTGTAATATACTGTATCTGTCTAAAATTTGCCTTTTAATGAATGGAGGTAGGAAGTACAGAGCCTGCACTCTGAAGGAGGGGTGGAGATATCTGCAGTGAATATGTTTCTTCTTTGTCAGGTCACCCTGCCTCAATGAGAAATGGCCATTGTGTTTAAAAATTCCATCTTATTTCAGTGTTATGTAAATCATAAGTACGGTACAGAGTGTACTGTACTTACGATTTACATAACAAAGCTCAAATTGTGGTGTCCCATCTTCATTACAGTACATATTTAGTTTATAAAGTTTTTGAGGTTTCCAGTGGTCATTGACTCCAGATGTTAACCACATTAAGAATACAGCTATAGCATTTTCATTTAATCTAAATTTACTGCATACTTCTTGCATCTGTTGCATCTTGGTCAAAATTTGTTACATGTTTCTTATATCTCCGGCAATTTTCATCCCCAACATTGACTTTGATAACACAGGAGGCTCGTCGAAAACAGTTGGCAGAAGCAGCTGAAGCCCGACTTAAAGCACAGGAGGGTCGAGGTGTTAAGAACCCAGAGGCAATTAAACAGCGACAGATACGTATGGAAGAGCTGGAACGCAAACAACAAGAAGCAGGAGGAGTCCAAGGAGGAGGAGGAGGACTTAGGGTTGGTAATTACATGTATTGTTTTGCTAATCTAGTCAAATTAATGGAGAAATTCTGTTATATATTCGTGGGAAGTGTCATATCCAAAGGAGCAGGAGTGATGCCAAGGTGAAGTAAGGGGACTGAAACCCCTAAATATAAATACAGCCTCTCCTCACTTAACGACGGAGTTCTGTTCCTAAGACAATGTCGGTAAATGAGTTCGTCACTAAGTGAGGAGCATACTATAGATAATGGTGGTGGGTTTATGTCAACCATCTTTGATATTGTTTTAATGTCACCTTTGCACCATTTACAACATTTCTGACATATTTTTAAATGTTTATACAGTAGTGTACCGTATATTGCAATGAACAGAATAGAGGAAATCGGCTGTAATATACATTATTTAGGTATGCATACTGGTCAGAGAGCCTGTTGTAAGTTTGAGTCATCAGTAAATGAGTACGTCGCTAAGCGAGGAGAGAGTGTAATAATAATCATCCTTGAGACAAGTCTCCTGGCCCCTTCTTCCAACTAGACTGCCACCCTCTAAGCCCATCGTATATCAAATTTCTGGTGCTGCCTCTGTCTAGGGATCACAGCTGTAATACATGTTAAGGGATGAATCTGTTAACAAATTAGTTCAAATATAACAAATTTAGGATTAGGGGAGGCACTTGTCGTATTTGCACCTTTGTAGAAAGATTCGTCACTGAATGGCTCATGCTCCAAGGAATTGAATCCATTCTCCCATTATGTGGATCAAACCTCATTACCTCAGACTTTTTTTCTTAAAAGGGTTGAGTACCCCAATAAAACAACCATTTTCTAAAAGTTGAAAAATGCAAACTTAATGTTTAAGTTTTTAATTTAGCTTGTATGTAATGTATTTTATCCCCTTTTTTCAGTGGCAAGTGAATTAACATGAGGGTGGGTAGCCCATGTTATATCTGCCGGGGCAACGTTCAAAGACACCCATCGTACTACTGGAGAATGTTAAACATAAACCCATTGACTTACCTATGAATTTCAAGAGGACATCTTCACAGCACATTTATCGCATATCTGGTAATGGTTCTGAGGATCAACACCATTGCTGCCTACTCTCGGACACACAATATTGGACTGTATCTGAGCACCGTACAGTAAACCCTTGATGTAATGGATTTTCAAAATCATGGGCAAAATCCACTGGTTAAATTATATCTTTAACTCCCTTGAAACCTTTATTTTCAAAGTTAATTGTAATATATATGGAAATTGTTTGAGATATACAGTACAATAGTCTATTTTTTTTTTTTTTTACAAATTTTTAACATTATTCCGATATAATGGACACATGGACATTTTCCCTATTAATCCATTAATTGAGAGTTTACTGTACATTTGATATTGCCTGAATTTTTTGAACAACAAATAGTCAGCTGTTCCTGTAATATTACAATTATTGATGAGAAAGCATTAGGAAAATTTTTTTTAACAACCTCCATTTCAAATCAATATAAAACCATCTGAGGCATAATTGCCAACACTAACAAAATTAATCTTGCCGATTTCTGGAAATTAATATTCGGATTCAGTACCAGAGTAAAAGTTATGAATGAGAGCCGGTGGAATTGATATGGTGATACCAACGAGATTTAAATAAGAGAGACATATATTGAAATGTTTTTACAAGTAACTTCTTCAGTCCTGAGAAAGCTATTTGTGGCAAACATTTCTGTAATAAATATCTTGATCACTTTGTAAGTGTCTTGCCTGCTGTGTGAGAGCTACTGTGAGATGGTAGTCACTGATGGAACAATACCCAAGTGGAAATTCATTAGATTTATTGAAAATATCACTTTGGCATTGTTAGTTTTTATAAGCTGTAGGGAATGTTCTAGCTTTTGTCATTTGAATTGTTAGTCATTCTAAAACTTTGTAAAAAATGATTTTGCTGTAATTCAGAGAAATATGAGTTACTGTAGTAACTGATACATAATTCTGCCCCACAAGTTATTCAAAGTTCATACCATTACCAGCCATACACATTAATTCTTGTATAGATGTTTATTTGAATGTTTAAGGTGGAAACACTGATGTGAGAGCACTTTCCTAATGTTTTCTTCAGCGTCACAATACTGTTTAGGTGATGAAGGGTTCTTTCTTCAAGGAACTGGTGTTAGTCTTCCTTTCACCAAAACAAACCTTATTACCTTTCCATTTGAATATAATATTTTGCAACCAGACAACCAGACTTTTGATATACACTGTATAAAGAATCTTGGGATGGAAGCAATCAGGTTTGATCCAAGAAAGGTAGCTCCCATTACTTGGCTCAAGAGCCATTCAGTGGCATTAGAGGCACCTTTCATTACTTAAGAAACCTTAAAAACAGTTCCTTGTCGCCTGGGATATTATTTTTGCTGTAATTAGTCTCCTTTTTTAATCATATTTAATAACCATGGTGAACGTGTTTTCTGCTATGGGTCATCATGTCTTGCTAGGCGATAACCTTTGATTTAAATAAGCCTTTTTTTCTTCTTCTTTCTTCCTTCCTTCCTTTCCTTTCCTTTCCTTTCTTTCCTTCTTTCCTTTCCTTCTTTCCTACTTTCCTTTCCTTCTTTCCTTTCCTTCTTTCCTTTCCTTCCCTTCCTTCCTTCCTTCCTTTCCTCCCTCCCTTCCTTCCTTCCTTCCTTCCTTCCTTCCTTCCTTCCTTCCTTCCTTCCTTCCTCCCTTCCTCCCTCCCTTCCTTCCTTCCTTCCTTCCCTTTTCTTCTTCTTCTTTCTTCTTCTTCTTCTTTCTTCTTCTTCTTTTCTTCTTCTTTTCTTCTTCTTTTCTTCTTCTTTTCTTCTTCTTCTTCTTCTTCTTTTCTTCTTCTTTTCTTCTTCTTTTCTTCTTCTTCTTTTCTTCTTCTTTTCTTCTTCTTCTTTTCTTCTTCTTTTCTTCTTCTTCTTCTTTTCTTCTTCTTCTTCTTCTTCTTCTTTCCAGAAGTGTGCTGACACTGCGATGCAAATTACCTTCCAATTACAACATCTCTACTCATCCAGAGTGGAGGCATTGCCCTTCCCACCTCCAGGACACCGGTCTGGCTAAGTGGTTTCCCTGAATCCCTCTATAAAAGTTACCCTGCTCAGACTCCAAGTGCACATCCATTAAAAACAACTTATCTTCATTCACTTCTATATAACACATACAAGCCTACTGGAAGCACTAGCCTGTAAAATTTAAAAGTCTCTTTTTTTTTTTCCCTCCTCCTCCTTACTATTCCTGGGATGACCCCTACTCTTCCTATCCTCCATCCAAGATTTATACACCCTCTTTATTAGCTTATCCCTCTCCATCTCTTCTACATGCCCAAAGCACCTCAACCCCTCTTTTGCCCTCTGATTATACACTTGGTGACCCAGCATTTACTTTTAATTTCTATTCTTCAAATTCTCTGCATGATTTTTCAAATCACACATTCCTCCCAAATATGGCATCTCCTCTGCCTCCAGCCTCGTCCTCACTGCAGCAGTCAAAACCAATAGTGATATCATAGTTACACTTCTTTCTTTCCACAAATGCTTAAACACAACATATACCTTCCCTCCCTCATCTATTCCAGGGTTCACCTTGTCTTTCATAGGCCTATTTGCTGACATATCCACTCCTAATTATCTAAATACTGTATGTACATCCACTTTATTCATATTCCCTATTTTCAGTCTGATATTCATTATATCATTCCTAGACTTTTTTGTTACTTAGATCACTTTGCTCTTTTCTGTTCTCTCTTAATTTCTTTTTTTTATTTATCCTCCCAAACTCATCCACCCTTTGTAACTTGTCTTTGTAATATCACCAGTAGAGTAACTATCACTCAGCGGAGAGCAATTGTGATAACTCCCACTTTGTCATATCCGACATCTTTAATACCACATTTTTCCCTAACACCCTAGCATTAATTTCTTTCACAATCCCATCTAGAAATATGCTAAACAACAATTTTGACATGACACATCCCTGGAAAATGGTCCCACTCCTACATACCCTAACCTGAGCTTCACTCAGCAAAAAAACTTTTAACTGCTTTTAGTAACTTACCTCCTATTCCATACATTTGCAATATGTACCCCATAGCTCCTTTACCCACCCTATCATATAGCTTTTCTAAATCCATAAATGCGACAAACAGCTCTTTATCCTTATCTAAATATTGCTCACTTGTATGCCACTACCCTTCCTGAATTTTCCCTGCTCCTCTGCAATCGTATTTTCTTTCTTAACCCTAATGCATTAAGTAACACTTCTACTGTAATCTTTACCTGGTACTTAACTATATTTAATAACCATATTTCTAGTGACTGTGATATTGTGTGATTTGTTTTCCTTAAGGTCAAATTTGAAAAGAAAATTAACATTGATTTTTCACTTTTCTTAAATCGTTAAAAGTTTTTGAAAAAAATCATTAAAGGGAGGGTTGCCTTGATGCTGAGGAATTTGGGCTACCCTCCCCTTCTTTGGATCACATGTGAATACTTCCCATTCCTCAGGGGTAGTATGATCCTTAAAGGTTTAGTGCCTCCATTGAAATAATACTAATACTAATATTAAATCTTGTAATACATTTGACATACAGTACAGTATTGCAGTTTATTGAAAATTATAATACAAATTGTTTTTAACTTAATGGCTGTCTTCCAAGGCAGGATGACCCAAAGAAGAAAACATGTTCACCATCATTCATTCAATTGCTGAATTTCCAGAATGAACATGACTCACGAAATCGTAATGACACGATTGCAAACAAACCATACCCCGGCCGGGATTGAACCCGCAGTCAGAGTCTCAAAACTCCAGACCGTCGCGTTAGCCACTAGACCAGCTAGCCACAATAAGATTCGTAGAAATATACCTAGTTGGACGAATCTTATTGTGGCTAGCTGGTCTAGTGGCTAACGCGACGGTCTGGAGTTTTGAGACTCTCTGACCGCGGGTTCAATCCCAGCCGGGGTATGGTTTGGTTTCCAGAATGAAATAGAGGTCAGACTATTATTTGCAGTTTAAACTAACATGGTTTGATGTAGAGTGCTAGTTTTTACTAACATTTTCACTATAAAGCACACCCCTAGAGTACCATCTATCAACTTGGGTATAATGTCACGTCAAAAGCAGTACTGGCATTGCAGGAATTTTAATGTGTCATGGGCAATGAAGAGGTTAATGTGTATATGTCAGGGCAATGATGAGGGTAATGTGTATGTGTCAGGGTCAGTGAAGAGGTTAATGTCATGTTAAGGGTAGTAAGGGCAGTGAAAGAGGTCTTGTCATATCCAGAACAATAGTGGCAGTGGAAAAGGTCAGAATCTCATTTTTACTTGAGACTGAAGCACTGGAACAAATAATAATTTACGCTGGTTATGTGTGTGTTATGGTTATTTTCTTTTTTTTTTTTTTGGATCACCCTGCCTCGGTGGGAGACGACCAACTTGTTGAAAAAAAAAAAATGTGTGTGTGTTGAGGCAAAGTTTATAGTAAATAAACTAAGTAATCAGGGTTTGGGGAGAGTGCTGTTTGTTATGTGTTAGTGGTTCTGGGGGTTATCTTCCTCATGTGCAACTCATAAACTGTGCTCAATAAGTTACTGGGTTATATTTAAATGAAGAACTAAACCTGTGTGGATCATTCATCTGAAGGAGTGTTCGGAGGCTTAGCCAGACTTCCTTCAAGGTGGTGCCTTTATGGTCTGAGATATCGGAGCCACCCTTTTCCTAAAATTTAACCTGATTACTTCCCATTCCCCAGGTACTCGATGACCTCCTACTGGTTTAGTGCTTCCCTGTGAATAAACAGTCTGCTCTTTTAGCTCCTCTGTATAGTGTAATATAGTAAATGCAATTGAACAAGGACACAAAAATTGAATAGCACACCCTGAAGGCCTTTCCAAATGCTATTCAGTTTTAGATGTATTTTTTTTTTTTAGTTTCAATTATGAGAAGTTGTACAACATAGGAACTTAATTGTAGAATTAACTGTAATGCTGTTATAGTACTGTAATTGTGGCCAGACTTTCCCGGTAAGTCAGTGGAAAGCCGAGACTGCACTCATAAAGAATAAAAGGCACAATACCATGACTGGAACAATACACAAATAACCCACATATTGGAGAAAGAAACTTATGACTACATTTTGGTCCAACTTGGATCATTACCTAGTTTCAGCCTGCCGTGGACCATTAACTAGTTTTGGAATGAAACGTTATCACAAGTTTCTTTCTCCCATGTGCAGGTTATTTATGTGCTGGACTCGTAGAAAGTGGAAAGTTGAGCCTGAGCATTCCTCCATATTCTAAGCTTGTTGACTCTGCTCTGATTCAGTGGAACTTTTTTAGAGTTTTGTAAAAAACATTCAGGTTTATACAGAAAGCAAGATTAAGTTTATATAGGTGTAAATGAAAGAATTTTATAACTATGATTTAGTTTATTTTGATGCAATTTTTGTTGAATTTGTGGGAGTGCAATGAATAAGTATGTGTACATGGAAAAAATTAAAATCCACATGTATATGAATGTTAATTTATTTTTGAAAGTGTTTCTCAAACAGTGGGTTGAACCCTCCCCTCCCTCCATCTGCCCTCTATAGTCACATAGGTTGACCCCTATCCCTCTCCAGTCACCTAGGTTGACCCCTATCCCTCTCCAGTCACCTAGGTTGACCCCTTTTCGCTCTACAGTCACCTATGTTGACCCTTTTTCGCTCTCCAGTCATGTAGGTTGACCCCCCTCTCCCTCTCCAGTCACCTTGGTTGACCCGTTTTCCCTACACAATTTTTTTCCTTTTTGGTGTCCCCTGAGGTGCCTGAACGTGTACAGATTACCAGTGTCATGAACTCTTGATATCCTTTGTTGATGAACTACTAGATGGAGTCCAGGTCTGGCATTCTCAGGCTTGATTATACAGTTAACTCGCTTATAAAGCTCCTCTATGCACCCCAGTTTTTCATAAACTTGACTGAAAAAGCACATCCAAAATTGAAGAACATGTGGAAAGGCCTTTATAGCACATGCTGTTCTGTTTTTTATGCATTTTTTCAGTTGCATTTTCAAAAATTGCACTGTATAGAACTTTATGAGAGAACTACAATGCCTGCTGAGTAATGTTTTACTAGATCCTATATTGACGAGTTCATAGCAAGAAAAAGTAAATAAAAATGACTAGGATAATAAGGGGATGCAGTGTAAATAGATGTGGGGGGATCATTGAGAAAATCTGGCTGAGAAATGCTGTTTTAGAATAAGAGTTGTATATTTTTCATTTTATGTAATAGATTTTATAAGAATGTTTTATATTATAGATTAGACTGTATATTTTGCTATACCTGACAGTACTTAATAGTCAGAGATTGTACATTATACCCTTGATTTAACAGACTTAAGAAATCTGAGAAAATCTGCTGGGGTAATTGATTTAGGAACAAGAAAATTTGTTGGTTACAGAATTGTCCATTATTATGATCATGGCTCAACAATCTTGTCAATCCACCACACCTGCCATTGCCAGCCACCTGCTCCCATTACTGATTCATTAAATTGAGGGTTCAGTGTATTTATCATTTTTTTAAATGTGTATTTCTCTAATCAACCTGCAAGCCAAAATATTCATAAGAGTGGCCATTATTCTGTATACTACTGTGGTTTCTATTTTCTATAGACATAGTTATATATATGATTTTGATATGCCTCATTGTGTGCTTTTGTCA